ATTTAAGTCAACTGAAGTCACCACAGAAAACGTTAAGAAGCACAAGATCAACAAAAGGGAAGCTAGAGGCTGAACAAATAGAACCACAACAAGAACCTACAGAAACTGTGACGCCATCCTTAAAAAGCTCAAAGCGGGAGGTTGTTTCTAGTAACACTATGGAGGTACCAAAAAATAGAAAAGCGGATTGGCAATATGATGTACTTGGTGAAAGGCGAAAAATTCACATGCAGACGGCACATTAACCAGATCAGACAATGCTCTTCAGATGTGGTTGACAACGATCCCACGGAAGAAATGCCGATGGAGGTGATTTTCAATACGTTTGATCTAACAATGCCTGCAACGATTTTACCATTTAAAAGTGGATACAAAACATAGGAGATACGCTACGATGTTGCTAAAAAAATGAAGTTTTTTTTTGTTTTTTCTTCATATTTCCTGTAAAAAATAAAGAAAACTGTTTTACTCTTACAGAGTAAAGTGTTAGGAGGGGGGTGTTATGGTGAAACACACCTATTCTATAGTTAATAGACTCTCCCACCTAGTATAAGTAGGAGTAGTAAGAGAAATGAGGGTCAGTTGATGTCAGACAACAGTAATCGAATACGGAAGTAGTCAGCGACCACAACAAGATTACTCTGTGTAATACCTATTATATCGAGTTCCTAATGTTTTGTACGTCAAACTATTTAGGACCCATTTAGTACAAATACAAGCCTCCCCTGCGAAATAACTCCACAACAGTTTATTACTTCATTTATTTATTTGGTTTGATTATCTTTACTTGCTTTTTCTAATGGTTAATTTACCGGGAGCGGTTTATTAGTTTGTTATTTATTTGGATTAATTTAGATTAATTTATTTTACTTGTTTTTTATTATTTATTTATTATACTGTATATTTTTATTTACTCTTTTCGGTTTTCGATTTTTACTGGAAGTGTTTGTGTATGAGTTTGAAGAATATTTTTCCTATGTTTCTTTTTACGTTTTTGCAGTACGGTGGGTTGAACCATATGATATTTCTTTTCCTGTTGGCCTTTTTTGTGTTCTGTGGTGAGTATGTGAGTGTTGCTGGGAATCCACTATCTTTTAGGGCTGTTTTGTAGTCTTTCTTAGTTTTGTTAAATATGGATTCATTGGAGGAATTGTTGGAAATCTTGCGGTTAATCGATTTTGGTATCTGTTTGATTATAGAAGGCGGGTGGTTGGAAGATGTGTGTATATAGAGTGGTTCATCATTGGGTTTTTTGTATGGTTTATATGTGCCTTTTCTTAGGTTGAAGGTAACATCTAGAAAATCTACTTTGTTTAGGTTAGTTTTTATATCTGTCGAATCCGTTATTTTTCAAAATCTTTATTATTGCTTTTCTAGTTTTGTCTGTGTTCTGTTTGTTACAGTTTTTTAAGATTATGAGACCATCGTTCCTGTAGAGTTCTGTGTCATTTCTATCTATTATTTTGCTTAGTTTGTGTAGTAAGTATATACCTATGATTTCGCAGGTTTCTGTACCATCAAAGCTTCCCATTGTAGTGTCAAAATCCCATCTTTCTTTATCCATGCTTCTTCATTGTAAAATAGTAATGATTTATGGGAGTGTTTAATGATGTCAATGTCATTTGGTTTTATTATTATTATTATTTGTTCCTGAGCTAAGTTGATGGCCTTATCTAGCATGGGTAAAATTCTTTTATATCTAATTGTAGGAATTGGCAATTTTGTTTGTTATTTATGCTGCGGAACCAGTCAATAGTTGCTTTTGTGTTTTTCCACTGGTTTACTCCTAACTTCTTCCTAAGTTCAAAAGTAATTGTTTCTAGTATCATTTTACTTATTTTACCGAGTTTGCTTTTGGCTGGGTTTATGAGTCTGCATGCAGGGTTGGTTTTGAAATTTTCTTTGTGGTCTTTTAGTGTGATAAAGGCTTGCACCTTGCTGATGCAACTTATTCGGTTGTCTAGGTCTAATTTTTGGGCGATTGCTTTAGCTTCCTTATTGATATCGTGTTCTATTGGTTTTGATGCCTTTTTGTATGTTTTGGTTATGTTGTTCATGAGTAATTGTGTGTAGGAGGACTTAGTTTGTATAAATTTCTTGTTTTGTCTGCTGTGATAAATACATATTCTGAATTGTTTATTTTAGTTATATCTTTTAGTTTTTTTTTTAAATGCATCTTGTTTTTTATGGAATTTTATGTTTCTAACAAGGTCAAGGTCATCTAATTCTTTTTGTTGCAGGGGGCTTTTTTTGGTTTTGAAGCCAGATTTCTCCTTGAGTGTATTGTTATTGTGAAGATCCGGGTTTAAAAAGAACTGGGCTTTCCATATCATTCTTTTTATGAAGCTTTCTGTTTTTTCAATTAATTTTAGCTTATATATGGAAGGGGATGGGGGCATGGGTATGTTTTTTAGGGAGTAGTCAAGGCTAAATTTTTCTATGCCCATACTGTGTTATAAATGTAGGGAAAGTGCTCTACTGTTTATCAGGAGCTGAATATGAAGAAATATAATCTTAAGGTGTGCTATATTTATGGGATAAAGTGCTCAATATCAGAGATAGTGTGTGTAAATATAAAAGTGAACATTGAAGTCAACACTTTGAGGTGACAAGCTGTTTCATGCTAGATGCAATCGTCAGGCCATGTGTGTGTTTTTTTTTTTTTTTTTTTTTTTTTTTCGGCTATTTATATATACGGGTTAGTGGTGCATTGTGGGTAATCTATTTTGGCAGTTATTTTGCCGGAAGTCATTTGTTTATTTATTTGGGTTAATTTATTTTGCTTGTTTTTATTTTTATTTCTTATATATTTATTTATTTGTTTTTATTTTAATCGGTGTTTTATTACTAATAAAACACCGATTAAAATAAAAACAAAGACCTTAAGACTATATTTCTTTATATACACACACACACACACACACACACACACTTTTATTTTAACTGGATTATATTTTTATGTTAAATTTGAAATCTTTATTTATGATTTTTCAGAAAATTCTTAACTACACATTATCTTTAATATTAAAGGCCCCCTTTTTCTTTTTAATGACTACATAAGTGTCATAATTGTAGGCCAGACAAAATATTTCGATTGCACATATAACCATCTTTCACTGATTTCCCCTTTCTTTCCTTTCTTTTTTTTCCCTTTCATGTGTCTTTAACTGCCACAATTGATGTAACCAGGTTTTCCATAGGATAACAAGTCTAAAGTCAGTTTATTCAACTGAAAATAACTTCTATTCATCTCGATCTCAACTTTTAACAAAAATTTTCTCTATTACCTCCTCTCTCTGAATGATTTTATCACCTTCCATTCCACAAAATCTCACATGTGTTTTTTCTGTCTTTCTTTCCACCTCTCTCTCAATCTTGTTTTTACTACCATGACATTTTAACCAGTCCATTTTACTGTTTCCGTCTCTCTGTAAGAAAAGAGAGAGTATATTTAGTTAACCGTCTATAAAAATATAATATTGTACAAGTTTTTCTTAAGGTGGGAACTTACACACTCTTTTATGGTTTGGTGCTAAAATTGTTCATTTTTATCAGCATTAGCTGTAGCCATAGGTTGTGCACACCCACTGATCTTTGCTTTATTAGAGTAGTGAGGAGGCACAGCTAAGAAAACTAATTGCTAATTATTAAGACTTTTGAAAATGCTTTCCAGTAATACACCCATTCTCCGATGACACCGCTCTCTTTAGCCCATATAATGTAGATGAAGCCATATTATTTATATACTCTTCTCTATATACATTTCATAAAAGCTCAGTGGAATTTGATTCTGTCAGTAGAGTACCTGGAAGTCAGCTGAATGTTTGTGGATGCTTTAATTATTTTCTCAGCTAAGCAAAAATATTTACACTGATTGGACTTGTACATTTGTCCATTAGGTTAATATACACCACATCATTTGTAGATTCAATTTTCATATTTGAGAATAAAATTAGTCTTAGATGCTTGGAGTTTAATTATAAGATTTGTGGGCTATTTATATACTAAGCCAGGAGAAAGAAAACTGATTTCAGCCCAGAAGAAAAAGTCCTCCTCTTTAACAGTTATAAGTGAATATAATGCAAATTCAAGCAAGGGTAAATGTCATATATCAAAGATTCAAGTTTCAAAGAGACATTGTTGATTTTAAAATGTTTTTGTTGTCTAGGAAAAAATACTAAATTTACATTATTGAATTTGGATTATACAATTGTTTGGTAAAATGCAATCTGCATAGAATAGGAAAATTTCACTCTAGATTTAGATGTTGATTCCTTATTTTATGAGGCAGAACTCAATTGACAAACTGAATATCTATAAACAATGTTCCCTGTCTCAACGGAAAACTTAGCAACAGATCAGATTTCGAGCAGGAAACTAAACATGCATTTTCTTATCAATTTCTTAAAATGTTTGAGTTTATTACTTTACTGAAATAAAAAAAAAAGGTTTTCATCTTATTCAAAATTTATAGTTTATTTTTTAAAGATTTTTCCATTTGACATTTGGAGGGGGCTAATTCTTCTCATTTAACCCTTTCTAGACTGAATTTATTTTAAAATTTTATTAGTTTTAAGGTAACTCAAATTTAAATTCCATTGTGAGTTATCCACCCAAGTTCACTCTTTTATGCCATGTATATTCTTGTAGGACTATACTTGACTTCTATAGAAGCATTTCTAGCCATGACTTTGGTTTTGGTCATTTCCATGAAAAGTAAATTCAATAAAATTTGATCATCTACTGATAAAATAATCACAAAATAAATTGCTAATTTCAAAGCATGCAACTAAATGGACACTTCCATGTTGCTTGGGCTAATTCTAAAGCCAATTGGTATTATTACTTGTAAACAAATGTGTATTTGACTATTCTCTCTGGAAATGGATTGATGTTTTGTTTTTTCTTCAAAACTTTGAATTCTTTTAAATTTATTTTTATAATGCTCTAAATGTAGTTCATTACCCCTGTATTCAACCCATTTTTCTTCCCTTTTCTAGATGGGTTGATTCAATTCTTCATTTCTTATTGGTGTGGTATTATTGTACACTAACCATCAGAGAAAGTATTCTTGTTGTGAATGGTTCACGGTAAGTCAATATTTTCATTGCTTTTCATTATTTCTTACTCTTGAGTTAAAAAAAAAATTAAATCTGCATTTAGAATTTTCTTTAAAAAAAAGAAATCTGTTACTATATTGCCTGCCATATATGATATGCTTTTTATCTAAAAATTTTGTTTCAAAACATTTTGTGTACATGATACCACATTTGTTACCTTCAGAGTAGGCATTGAGTTGAGATGTTTGGTATCTACAGTTTGCACATATCTTTTTACTTGGAACATCCTTGCATAAATACTCTTTATGTTTATTCTAAATTAATAACCTAATTATACAATCCATTAGTAAAACTTTATTGCTCAGAGACAATTACAAATTAAAAACTGATCAATTTATTTAAAAGAAATGTTCCTTGTCAAATCAGTGGTGTATATTGTACATTAGTGGATATTATATAGCAAAAAATATAATTTTTTTATTAAAAACAAAATTTGAGTAATAATAAATCATTCTAATATTTTTTTAAGTCATTAAATTCTATGAAAAATGAGCTGCTATGAAACTTAGTTTAATGGTCAAAGGGTATTCAACTTGAAAACTTGAGATAAATGCATCAACTGACTGCCGTAAAAATGGTTAAGTCTCACTTAAAGTTATTTCTTTATTCCTACTTTACACGACTTTAATAGTCAGAAGGTATTCAACTTAGAACATTTTAAAATGCAACAATGAAATTAAGAAAACAGGTCAAAAATTGAGAATTTTTTTTATACTATCTTTTATCAAACTGTACAAATTTTTTTTTTTTTTTTTTTTTTAGACACATTTTATATTCTCCAAGATATTACAGCTAAAGCAGATCAATGTTTCTTGTTTGCTTATAAATTAATAGATTTCATTAGTTTAATTATTGACATTATTTACAGTAAGTCCTTGTCTTTATCACAACATTTCAGCCATTGTCCCCTCTAGTGTCCAGGTGTCTCCCCATCCAGGTAATGCTCTGGAAATTTCACTGCACCCATTATTTCATCTATATTAGTAGTGTTCTCATTCTGCTGTTCATGTTTCAGGATATCTCACCTTATTCTTCTTTTTAGTATTGCTCAATTACTTTGAGTCTGATTCTATAATATCCAGATCAGGGATTGAACTCACAATTACTATGCTACCAAATTTATAAATCAATCCTTTAATCCTCTGGAATTATATATCGATGCTAGTCTGACTGAGCAATCAGCATATACACTAGACTATGATGGCCTTTTCAATAGACCGAGTGTAGATATAAATACCATATTGGAGCCATTAACAGATAAAGAAAAAGAAATGGTAGTTGAGGGAGCCAAGCTTGACAGTAATGCTTCAGCAGTAGGAAAAAAAAACATAGTTGCAGAGGAAGCCATAGTGAGAGCAGCAGCATTAAAACCAATTAGGTTTAAGGCACCAAGTTCTAGCTTCAGGATTATCCTACAAGATAATAGCTTAGAGGATTAAAGCATTGTTTTATGAATTTCGTGGTATTGTAATTTTGAGTTCAATCCCTGGTGCAGCAGTACTAAAAAACACCAAGATGTGATATCCCTATATGTGTACAGTAAAACAAGAACAATTTATTTACCCCTGTAGATTAAATAAAGGGTTCAGTTTGAAATTCCATGAAGGCTACTCAGATTGACAGATACCTGAGTGTATAACAGCCAAAACATGATAATCAATGAAAAATCACACTAGTTCAATTGTGAATAATGTAAATAATATTTCCACAATTTGTCTAATTTTTAAGTTGTATTTCTGAGATGAGATGAATCAATATTACACACTGATTTATCTAAATTGGTGTCCTTATAATCTCAATATTTCAGTTAAATTATTTGGCTTTCTGCAAATGCGCATTGTATTTGGCAATCTTAAGAATTTTGAACCAAACCTTTCATTCAATCCACAGAGGTAATCTTCTCATTCCACTGTCCATATTAGAGGATATATCATTTCATTTCATCTTTTCATTTGTCCTTGTGAAGTTGCTTCTGCTTCTTTTGCTGAATCAGATTGTATGAATTTGCTACTTGATCCAGAGATTGAACTCCTGACCAGCAAGTAACTGTATACACTTAAATAATTTCTCCATTCACAAGTACATATATACTATCAGTTAGTCAATAGTTTTGAGCTATGGTTAACTTTACTAATGCATAAATTTTTTTTTTTTTTTTGCTCTCTCAGAATTAAGGGCTGGTGGATGACTCATCATTTTGTTTCTACAGTTTGTGCTGGGATCTCTCTAATCTGGTAAAAAAAAAATCTTTTCTATGCTTACATTACAAAACCTCCTGAAATGTCACTTCAACTTGTTAAAACTTTGGTTTATTTGAACTAGTATAAGAATCTTTGTTTCTTTCAACAGTTTTCATGACATACAGTACCACGCAAAAATTTACAACACATTACAAAAAAATGTTTCTTTAGGTATTTTAACACAGATTAATGAAACTTTTACTGCTAACATATGTTTAAGTCAAACAATTAGATTTAAAAAAAATAATCAATAAAAATATCCCACAAAGAAAAACCAATATTTAATAATGCAAAAGTTTATAATATATTTATTAAATCATCTATTAATATTTCATAGCATAACCATTATTGCTAATTGCAGTAGGCATGTAGAGTATTCCCCTATGAATTTCTTGCATGTTTCTTGGCTAATATTTTTCCATTCTTTACAACAAAATTCCTTTATTTCATGCAGGTTTTGCAGGTTCCTTCTTTGAATTTTCAGTTTCAGCTCTCTCCATAAATTTTCAATCGGATTGAGATCTGGAGATTGACTTGGCCATTTTAGAATGTCTTTTCAATTTGAACTTAACCATGATTTTGTAAGTTTTGTTGAATGACCCAACCTGGTTTCAAGCCCAGTGAATGTGCACTCTGACGTAAATTTCTCTCCAAAATATCACTATAATATGCTCCATTCATCCTCCCTTCTATTATTTCAATGTTCCCTACACCTTGGGCACTATAGCAACCCCAGATCATGATTGATCTGCCTCCAAATTTTACTGGTGGAATAGTATTCTTCAGCAAATATTCAGTACCCTTCTTTCTCCGTCATTTTCTGCCAAAAAGTTCAATTTTCAATTCGTCTGACCAAAGTACATTTTCCCAAAATGCTGCAGATTTGATACAATGTTCATTTGCAAAATCCAATCTAGCAAGAATGTGTTTTTGCTTAAGTGTTTTTTTTTGTTTTTTTTCTTGTTTTTTTTCCCCTTGGAGTTGTCAAAAAGATGTCATATTGACGACGTGAACAACTAATTGAATCCATACTCACTTTTACTTCACTTACTTTTAGTCCTCCTGGAAGTTCTTTAAGCATAACCTGGAGCTCGTTTTCAACTTTTCTCACCATATATTCTGTTGCCTTTCTAGGACAACCAGAGCTTGCTTTTTTTTTTTTTTTTTTTTTTTTGGGACAAATGGAATGACATGTCTTCCAGTGACAAAGTATCATATCAACTGAACTCAATGACACATTTAAGTGACTAGAACCAATTCCATTTATATGAAGGTTAACAATGTTTACAGAGGCCTTGATCAATGATTTTACTTTACCCCAGTTTAAAGGACGGTTGACAGAAAAAGAATGATGCAATACCTTTTAATCATTCCTAAAAGTAATCATAAAATTAATCTGGAACGTTCTAAAAAAAACAACCCAATCCTAATTTGGAACATTCTAATAAAATTTGAACACTTTTATAAAAAAAGATTTTGTAAATAAAAAAAAATGTGTTGTAAACTTTTGAGTTACTAAATATTGGTTTTTCTTCATGGGATACTTTTTTGAAGTTTTTTTTTTTTTAAATCTGATTGTATGATTGCATACCTAAATATATGTTCTATGAGCAGTAAAAGTTTAATTAATGTAACTGTATTAGAAATACCTTAAAAAAAATTGTACACTTTTGCGTGGAACTGTAACTGTTACATCTAGTAGTCTGGAGTACTTAAAATATCACTGATAGACAATGTACTTCAGGGCTATTATAGGTAACATTCACTTGATGAGGATTAGATAGCTGGCCAATCAAAATGATTGATCTAAAATCAATCTAATCATAATGATACTTCATATTTGAACTTTAGATGGCTATTAGTATATCAGCAGATATTGATAAAGTTTATTCCAGATAATTTCAAACTTCAGACAACCTATCATGTTTCTGAATATTATAAATACAAGATAATCAGACAAGGATTTGATCTTTGGCTCAAATTCCACCAGGAAAGATATTTGATAACATATACACTATGAAACATTTGTCAAGATAAATTATATTTGTGTAATTGACATAAGGTAAAAAAAAAAAAGGTTTTTCAAATTATAATCCCCCTATTCTATCAGTAACACTTGTATCAATTCAGGACTATTGACAACCTCTTGTCTTTGTCATCTAACATTGAGTTAGAGGCAAAGAGGTTATCTGTCAAGGAAGATATGACTATAGACATATTATTATTATTAAGATTATAGGCAGTTCTGAATGCAGTGAGAGCCAAACTACTTCACTCCTTGAAATACATATTGAAATAGTGGTTTCAGTGAGTTATAGCTGTAGCACATTCGGGGGTGAAGCATGGTTGACTGTTTGGTTTTTGCTGGAATTTGGTGGGGATGGTATAAAATGCTCCATTCCAGAATGGATCCAATCAGTTACAAGGATAGCAGTCTTTGAGACAGCATGCTTGAAGATAATTTGGAGGGGAGCTTCCATTATGTAGGATTGAAAGCTATCCCAGTCTGCCTTTGCATAGTGAAAAATTATTCTATGGAATGGTACATCAGGGGATTCCTTAGGTTTGGCATCAATCTGGACACTAATTAGGGAATGAATGGCCTGACGTACCTAGGTAAAACTTTTTATAGGCATTTATTAGGGCAGGAGGTTAGGAAGAGATTGAGGTTTGCCTGATATCCCGTCATGTGCGGGACCCAGGTAACATTCTCCAATGATCTGAATTAGCTAATAAACGACGGAGAAGTCTCTGCAATATCTGCCTTCAACATAAGTTATGTTGGAGTGGACTTGCCACTCTTTATGGTGGATATTTGTTGTATAGGAATAAAGTGTTGTTGCCGACACCATAGTCTGAACACAGATCACCAGTGAGCAAACATGGACGATTCCATTATTAAATAAGTAATAGTCATTGTAATGGAAATGTATAAATGGGAATTAGCATGGCGTTTAAGTGATCACTATTCTCTATACTATCCACCATAGTATTTCTCTATACTGATCAATATATGAATTACTTTTCGGCGATTACTATTTGAACAAGTAGTATTAGGGTGAGTATTATTTGAAGGCATTACTACTACCACTACATGTGTTATAAAGTATCATCTACAACAAGCATTAGTTGACCTAACAAAGTTACAAGTGAGCATCTAACATCACAAAAGTGGCGATGAGGATTCATTCAACAGATGGAATAATGGAAGAATTAAAATCATCATGGTTCAAATGTTGCAGCAGCATAAACAACACGATGAACAGAAGTTGCAATTACAATTACAGCAACAAAAGTTTTCAAATTGTTCACTAAAATGATGGAAACAAAAATTTCAGATTCGTTCACACTTGATGCTGTCGCTAATTCAATCACTGAGTTTGTGTACAATCCAGATAAAGCAATAACTTTCCCATCTTACTATAGAAGATATGAAAGAATCTTCAAAAGGAATTGTTCACATTGAAATGATGAAAAAAGTTTGGTTATTATTGAGGAAATTATCCCCTGCTGAACATGAAAAATCTGTAAACTATATTTTGCCAAAGAAACCTGGAGAAATAACTTTTGATTAGACTGTCCTAACACTACTGAAAATTTTTGGTGATAGGAGTTCATTGTTTAATACACAATGACAATGTCTTGGTAAAATCTGATGAAGAAGATTTTGTCACAGATGCAGGAGTCATGAATCTGGAATGCAAAAAGTTCAAATTAAATGAACGCTTGATTTGTTTAAATGCCTGATATTCATTCAGGGTTTAACATTTAATAAGGATACATAGAAAAGATCCAGGATACTTTCTAAATTAGAAATGGATCCAGAATTAACTCTCCAGAGAATAGCAGAAAAGTATCAAAGTATTGTGAATTTGAAACTCGATACCATAAAGATTGAGGAAAAAGTCAATTCACAGGTACACAGTGTCCAACCATCCAAGAGGAAAAACTATAAACGTTTTTCAACTCCTAATAGAACTATAAGGAAAGACTATAAACCCTCTGCAGTACCTAATACTTGCCACAGCTGTGGAGGTAAGCATTTTAAGAGTGATTGTTTCTTCAAAAACAAGAAATGCTATGAGTGTGGGAAATTAGGACACAAAAGTGTGTGTTGCAGATCTAAAAAGTGAAGAAAAAATAGAATGCATGTGAACAGGATAAATATATGCAGTAGCAATAAAAAGCCTAAAAGGCACTTCACAAAAGAGGAAATTTGTTTTCGTGCAAATTAATGATGTGAAGATAAAATTTCAAGTAGACACAGGATTTGATATCCCTATTATAAACGAACAGGCTTTGAGGAAAATGCGTAAACACAGTTAATTAATTTCTGATAAAGTTTCTTATGGAGTCTCAGGAAAGAGATTAAGCTTTTTGGGTAAATCCATCTGTAACATTTCTTTTGTTGGAAAAACCAGAAGAGTGGTAGTATTTGTGTTAAAAATACTGCTAATTTGTTTGGTACAGACTGGATTGCATTGTTTGATCTGTGGGGCCTCCCAATTAACTCTTTTTTTTTTTTTTTTCAATAATATAAATATTGTTGCCAGTACTAATACAGCAACTGAAAAATTGAAAAGTGAACTGAAAGTGAGTTTTTCAGAAGTTTTCTCTGAAGGTCTAGGGACATGCACAAAAGCAAGCTAAGTTTCACTTGAAAAACAATATAACCCCTACGTTTAAACCAAGAATGAGTGTAAGTTTTGCGGCTTTAGATCCAATCAACAACGAATTAGACAGGCTAGAGAAATTAGGAGTAATATCAAGAATAGACTATTCTGAATGGGCATCACCAACAGTCAACATAAAGAAACGGAATAATAAAATCTGCATGTCTGCTGATTTTTTTTCAACGGGATTAAATGAAAGTTTAAAGAAGTGTAACTACCCATTACCAAGTCCAGAGGAAATTTTTGCCAAATTGAAAAGAGGTAAATTTTTCTCTGAATTGGACCTCTCAGATGCATACTTACAAGTACTTGTGGATAAAG